AATTGTAAATGATTTTAAAAAATCAGTCCAAACAGTATTTGTTAAGCTATTGAAAGTTTAAGAATTTATAATAAGCTAGAAGGTCAAATCTTTTTTGATCTTGAGAATGATTTGAACTTTCTAGAGAACTTGTAGATGATTTTGAAATTTGAAGCAAGTTGAAAAAGACCTTTTTTGAGAATGTCAATAAAGGTCAAAACTAAAGTCAGATTTGAACTTCTGATAACTTGTAAAATTTGAAGCAAGTACATTTCTGACCGTTTTTTTCTTGGTGGTGACATAATAACTCACTTTTGTTACGTAAACGACACGTTAAAACGGTTAACATATGTACGTTTAACCGTTCCGTTTACGCCGTTTGCGTAAAAGTAGTGAAACATTATTTTCATCATTCTGGTGCCTCAAACTATTAGCTTTTCTCAAACACATTATGCGGACACACGTTTGTAAAACACACGTTTGGAAAAAGAAAAATCGTACCTCTGCTATATTTTGAAGAGTTCCACCACTGTGTGATTAAGCAATATATTGTCAAACATGTTTAAGCTTAAACAACATTCTATAAATTACAATACCCTCCATGATTGAGAAATACATTACATGAAGACAGTGAATTCTGTAGTTTCAGGATATCTAGCAAACCTATTATATTTTGTATTTACTATTTATAATGTTATTTTCACGTCCACTAGAAAACTAGTTATATTCTCATTGAAAATCATAATATTCATGAACTTTTGTTTTTATAAAATCCCCTAATAATACAAAAACATGAAACGTTTTAGGAAAAAGTCAATTTTAAACTTTTAATCACAGTGATATATTACATCATATATCTATGGCTAATATATCTCTGACATCTATTACATGTTCTCAATTTAATGTAAATGGTTCAATGATCTTGATTCTGTCAATTTTCAAGTAACATGGGCACTTAAATATCTCCCATTTCCATTATTTTGTTTTGACGGCCATTATTTTGGGTTTATTACTGGACAACAGCGCATCTCTATATTTAGTTACTGGACTTTTGATTGCATGGTATACCATAACAATTTCATCCAGAGACTACTGTCTGTTATAGAAATAGGATGTGATGAGTATCAAGACGTACTTTTGATCAACTATAGCCTTTAATGAAATTTCACCTGATGCCATCAACGAAAAAGAGAAAAATGGCAACTTGATATCTAGATTGGCTCGTTTAATATTGGCACACGTCTCTTGTTTTCGACATTCCATTGAATCATTGGGACAGATTTGACATTAATGCCATCGCAATTTAAGGGAAAATGCTCTATATGATCAGTGTTGCAAACCAATGTCATGGTGACATACAAAAAAACTAATTAGCAAATCTATGAAACAAATAATAAATATAATGAATACTTAATTAAATATACATAAATATAAATTGATTTGTAGTAATTGGAATATAAAGCTATACCGTCTTGTTATGATGAACCTAAATCGTTCAACTTATGAAGGCAACATAAATCAATTCATAATAGGTGACTAGCTTTTCATGTAAATTACATCATAATACTTGCCTCTGCATATATCTTATTGATTTTTTTTACACATTTTATGCTGGGTATCAAACAAAGAATCTGATGGGACTCGTTATTCCAAGGAAGTCCTAACCCCCTATCACACCAAACTATTTCTTACCCATTCTTGCCAGTCCTACGAAAACGTCGTAAAACGGGCTCAATCTGGCTGTGGTCGGGAAATATGTCTAAAATAATTAGCTACTTCGTTCATAAACAGTCTTAAATACGTCCATCTCATTCGCAGTTCGTTCAGGTCGCACCACGTCGGTGTGCAACGTCGTATAACGCGTCCCTTAGTCTAGAAGGTCATCATGACTTGATTATAGAACGGTATGGTCGCCATAGAATTTTGAATCGATTCAAAATTCTAAATCACATTCCTCGTCTGAAGTTCGTAAACAGACCGTAAAACATTGTAGCTACGTTCATTCCGTTCGCACTCAGTTTAAAACCAGTTTTGAAGAACGCAGTGGCAACTTGCTTTGTGTGATAGCTATATTTTTGCTAACTCGTTGATAAATAAGTTCTTTATCAGTTTTAACCCGTTTACAATTAGTTCTACCTCGTTCTCAATACGTCCTCAGACAGTTCAACTCGTTGTAAAAACGTCCCTAGTAGGATTGAAGTACAACCGTCCCGTTCGTAGTACGTCCAGCTCGTCGTTAGTAGGTTGTCACTCGTTCCAATTGTAGAACGCGACGACCAAGATAACATTTTGAGCATGTTCTAAGTTCTAGAGGACCTACCCGTTCGAGTACGTTCGATGAAGTTTGTAAATAGACCCCAAACGGTTCTAAGTACGTCCAGTCCGTTCGTACACAGTTGAAGCCCGTTTTCGAGAACGTAGTGAGAACTAGTTTGGTGTGATAGTAGGGTAAGATGTTTTGGAAGTTTGACAGATGCGACAGAACTGTTGGAAAATGTTCTAGAATCATACCCTGGGTAAATTGCTATCATGCGGCATATGGTGGCCATACCGAATTTTAAAGAACTAATAAAAATGAAGAGTTGAGTAATATATGGGAAAATTGTATAACAACTGAAAATCGCATATAAAAAAGATTCATACTAACTGACTAAGTAAAAAAGTTCATACTTTTGAAAATAAGGGGGAGAACATATATTTATTTGACACCCTGTACATTTAAAAGGCTTTGACTCATCGTAAAATACTTGTGTTGCCAATCTTGCACATATACTTTGCGTACGGCTGATGATATGATAATTAATTTCATCCTTCAGTTTCATAACCTTAACCTGTAAGGCTACTTCTACTTAATTTGGCGCCCTTCTTCCCGATATATTGCAATTTTAAGAATACCGGGGATTTGATTTGGCACATTTCGTTAGTTTATGCATTTTCAACTTGTCAACGAATTGATGGAATGTCCAAAGATTTTGGTACATATTTAATTTCAAATTCTAAATTGATGACACTTTTCACACTTGAATTAAACGGGTCGCCAAATTAAGTATACAGTGTACCTAAAATATTCAAAATCAAAACGTTAAGGATTGGTATTGATATGGCGAACTGAATATCCCAGATGCGAGTAGAAATAATCTTGATTTACGTCATTAAAAATTCACAATTCAGTCAAACTGATGTCATATTTGGAATCTACATGTAAAATTACATTTAGAAATATGGTTTTGAATAGAGTTTATCAACTTTGAAAATTTAATTTTCTTTGAAAATGTGACTTCTAGGTCGGGGAGATTCCCCATAGACCCAATGTTGTAAAACCACAAAAAGTGAAATATCTTTTCTTGTATTGGGCAGATAATATTTTCTTTTACTGGACATATTTTAATTTGTATAACCATCAGATACATAAGGGTAATATGAAAAGTGAACCACTAAAACTGATGCATATTCAAGTTTAAGGGAATTTTGTAATACCCTGCCATGTTAATTCCCCCGAACCAGCCACCTGGTGGCGAAACTGGTAACTACCTACTCGCATCTGAGTAATTGAGCACATGTTATTCCAAAATTCTGAAAATAGTACACATCGTCAATCTAAAGATCATCTTTTGAATGGTAACTGTTTAATTTGAAAAATATATATATACTTTTCTCTATATTGGTTTAGAAAACACATCAGACACTTCTCTTGTTCTTAGTATCATATGTTCGGAATGAAACGAAACATTTATCTGAAAATCAGTGGAACAAAACGACATATACATAACGTGTTCAGGTCGCTCAACATTGTAATGGTACAAATGAAAGTTTGATTGATTTAAAAAAGTATCTTCTTAATGAAATAAGAGGGTTACTTTAATTTTTATCTATTTTTTTTAATTGTTTGAATACATTTTGTTAAATCAATCAAATTTTCTTTTGTATAACTATAATATCAGGTCTAAGAAAATGTTGTATTTACACGTCGCACGAAACTGGGGATAATTAGCGTAACATTATGACGTCAAAAAACCAAGACAAAATAATGAGCAACATAGGGCGCAAACAGCCTTACAACGTCTAAAACGACAAGCGTCACATTTTTGTCAAGTTTAGTCAACCTAAAAATAAAATACTTTATCCTCATCTAATCATGCCAAAACTACAGGGTAGCAAGATCTCGAGGACAATATTTCTAAAATGTTTTTGAATTTTGAAAAAACGGTCAAGAAATCCACTTCGGGCGTTGGTAAAAATTGATATGTATGGAATTTGTGGTAAAAAATCGATGCGTCACATTTTTCTCGAAAGTCTCGAAAACCAGCTCTTATTTTAATATTATTTGCAAAATAAACACCCTGGTTATTGTTTTGTAAATTTCGCCATGACAATATTGTGCAGTTAATTTTTCTTTCCAATCAGACTTAAATTAGAAGGTTAAATGAAGGAAAACTTATTGCTCGTCCCATTCGCCTTCAAAACCTTACACAATTTAAAAAAATGTAAAAGCGTTCATAAAAGATAATTTGAACTGTAGCCGTAAAGCAATTGTGACGTCATAAATGAACATGTTCCATTGAAAACATTGGAAATTTTAGCGGAATTTTGATCATTATTTCAAAAGTTATCCGAATTTCAACGAGCCCTGTAAGCGTAAAGTGTTACGTCTTACAGCGTATTTGACGATGTCGGGATATATTTAACTTTAAAAATATGTTTGATCTCATCAACATTTTGAAGGAAAAATAATTTCACTGAAATGCGAATAAAAAATACTTCAAAATGATATATAAAACACATCGTTAGCTTTTAAATAAGGCAGAGATTAACGCTCAAAGCTGAGATCAGCCCGTATTTCCCGAATTGTCCCCAGGTCCGTGCACGTCATAATAGGGTATTTTGTTCCAACAAGGTTCGAAAAGATATTATATTGCATTCTCAAGAATTGGTAGAAAAGGAACAAAAACAATTGCACTAAAAATCAAAAACTGTTAACAAAAACAGTTATAAAAATTCTATTTAAATAATTTTAGCATTGAATTGTTGTCATTCAGTCAACCTTACATAATTATAAAGGACCGTGTTTTTACAGAATGTTTTCAATTGGTTTAAGAGAAAAACAATGTTGAATTCAGTTCGCCATATCGATACCAATCCTTTATTGGGCGCAGTCTCTCTCAACATCTTTGCATCCAAACTCCTTGGACCGACTTGGTGAAGGGGTGAAACGAGAGGAGGTGTGCCAACCTGTCTGTGTTGTCCCATTTATACTCTTTGACCCCATCTCAATATCACCCCCACTCCTTGTTACGCTCCTAATGCTATCTTTACTACGACAGGCTGTCATCATACTCCGTCGGAAACTAGAGGACATAAACCCATATACAATTGGATTGGTTGCACTCTGTATGTAGGGTAACAGGTTCATTGCAACCTGCAAAAACCAACATATCAAATGTTTTTCTCAAATGAATTAATCATTTAAATGCTTTTTGATATAATAAAGTATGTATTAGCACAATATCTTAAAACAACTTTATGGCCAATTTAGGGGAACTATTACATTTCATTGAAGTCTTCCTATATATTGAAAGAATTATTAAATTTGGGGGTTGAGTTGGCTTTGGGTTGAATTGACTTAGGGTTAAGATAACTTTGGTTGAGTTGACTAAGGGTTGAGATAACCTGGGTTGAGTTGACTTAAAGGCCCGCTATACTTAATTTAGAAGAAAGAAGAAAAATATTATCATTGAAACATATTACTCACACACTCGCTCAAATCTGACACAAAGTTTGATTTGCTTTAATATTGAACCAAGAAAAAAATTAGTCACAGAGAAAAAACATTTGAATCAGAGATCATTATACATGCATGCACATGCTTAACAAATGCATGTTTTTAATTACGTTTGATTTAAAAGATGGCGACACTTCTATGAAAATGAATGTATAATGTAGTACAAACAACTTCGCCATCTTTCAATGACATTGATAAAAACTTGATATATAAAGCTTGACAGATCGAAAATTAATTATTGCAAGCTTTGATGTGGTCCGTTTTGAGCTGTTGTTGGTGTCAAATCAAAGATAGGGTTCTTATCAATACATTTGACATTCCATAGAATTCATATAAAAGTCTTTATTTTGGCCCAAAACATTAAAAATACGCAGAGCGGGCCTTTAAGGTTGGGTTTACCAGTTACCAATATTATCAGGTGTCATACCACATTTGTCAATCGTAGTTCTTTTTTTTAATTATTTTAGTTGCTTGTATCGTCATTCCCGAAAGGCATGTGGCATTTGATTTATGACCGGGGACTCGGCTGTACAATTATTCCAAAGATTGATCCTATCTTTTTGGATTGATTAGTTGAATTTTCTCAGTGCAGTCTACTTATAGATTGGGGGATATGGAAATAGAAATATAATGTCCGGTATATTGTTATGTATGGTACATAATGGTACAATCTCACATTGGCGCTTATATGCTAAACTAAGAAATATAAATAAAGCAATTATACTTGTTGTTTTTCAAGTTTGATTGAGCAGTGATATACCATTCACCATGTACTAGAATATAAGCTAATAATGAATTAATCATAATATCGTATCTTTATGTCACTTACTTGATAATTTTTTCAGAAAATGCTAATCTTTCTTAGAAGTTTTTCCTGATTAATCGATTACAAAGGACTGTTATACATCTATTCCAACACTCTCTAGAAACAAGGGCAAACGTGAGGAGTAAGTAAGGTCTTTAAATCAAAGCTTACACAAGTAGAAAGACAACACTTGGTCTTTAACATAGTAATTACAGCTAAAGATTAAAGAATCACAAAGAGAATGGTTACAATATCACGTCGTCCTATCTGAATAATAATGTCCTACGTGTCTTTTTGAAAACATTTTCACAGATTTTCCCTATTTAAATCTTTCTTTCTGTGATACTCCCTTATCTTTATTTCCTCTCAACAGCCTGCTATTCAGTGTCAAAACGTCCAAACTCCATAAAAATTTCAAAAATACAATTTATCTTTGGCCTATACATCATCTTAGCCAATCAAGTTGTTTGAATTACATCATGTGACTAGGACTTAATATTATCACAATTTTAACCTGAAATTTGAATTTAACCTGAAATTGAATTGTTCCATCTCCATTTTTGATATGCCCAAAAACTGTTTTAGAAAATCTTAAATTTCTTGAATATGAATATTAAATCTTACGATTTTACAATAATAACATCAATCCATCATTTTAGAAAATTTGGGAATCTAAAGTTCGACGATTAAGTCAAAGAAAAACTGGTTGAAAGGCAGAAATTGTGTTTGTTGTAAAGGTAGTCATCCCATTCCCTGGAATTTTTTCTGAATCTCATCCTTCACCGTATATAAACAATTATTGACTCCCCTGTTCCACGAATTAGGATAACTAACTTAACTTTTATTAATAGATATGAATTGTATTGGATGAAAGAGATCTTATATTTAATTTGAAAAGACAATCTAATAATTGCTTTACCATTTTTAAGTCTTTTAGCATTCTTTGACCAATATTTTGTGACAATGCATAAACTGATTACAATTGCCAAGAGGAAATGAATAAAACAGCACCATTGGTACTTGGGTCATGCGGTTGTATCTTCAAATTTTGGATAAAATGTTTAGTTAATACAATTAATGTTGAACCGGAAATGATCTAGAGCAAACCCCGGCCCTGCAATACTGGAATTGATAATAATGGAGCGTAGGCAACATTACAAGTGATAGCCATTTCAATATTTTGAAAATATCTGACAATGCGCTTTCTGAAATCTCGATAACAAAAGCGGAATGCCAAGATCACGAGCACGTCACCATCATAACGACCATATTTCACCAGTGGTGTGATAAAAAATAAATAAAATGAATATTTTGCAAAGAGATCTACATTTAAAAAAAAGAAATTTAAAATGGCCTTTTTAGCAATGAGTTCAAAGTGTTTCATCGATATGAAAAAATATGGGCCATTCTGAAATTTTATGAGGTGGATTAAACTTCAAGAAATATGCGACCATTTTAGATGGACAAGCAAAGTTGATTTATGTAGATATCAATAGCTGAGAACAGTAAATGATGTATCAAAGAAAAATTATGTGCATATATTGCTTACAATGACGTAAACGACTCGGAGCGTGGCCTTTAATATTCAGTGACCCATATTTCGATAAAAGTAGATATCAGATCCAATTTGTCTTATTCATTTTCTCTCCCCATTGAATTGAAATGATTCAGATATACAAATATGAAACTATTACACTTCTAGGAGGAATTGGAATTTGCCTGTTTTGCAAACGAATCCATTAATCAGTTCTTTATCTGCCAATATTGCAAATGTTATTTGCAGGCTTTATCTTTTTATACGGGTAAATTCACCAACTCAAAACATATATTTTCATTTTGATATGTTGCAAATTAATGTTACGTTATTTATAGGTAAATAAATTTATCTTTGATGCATCATGCCAAGTACCAGACTGAATCTGTATCTGAATCTTCCAAAATAAGGGAACTTCAATTTATGGTATTATTGATCATATCGTATGATTATTTACTCCCAAACTTAAAAATAGGTCAACATACATGATTAGATTTGCCCTGGGACATCCTAAATATGTTTAAAATCTACCAGAAATCTACCAGGAATGTACAACACAAGTATATAGTAAAATCAAATAATTGGAAAGATTTTCCAACATATATGATACAACTGCAAAGAGTGCATTACATAAACTGTGTTGTGCAATGATAAATGTACACATTATAACAGATCATTATGCAGATGATAAAACGGGTATAAGAGGTAATATCATGAGGGTGAATGCATGATATTATCTATGTTACAGAAGCTCAGCTTGCTAGTCAAAAGTCTACAGTATGTTTCAATTAAAATAAAAATAAATTCTGGTGTCGAACTGTCAATATTGATCATTTATACCATATGGTACAATTTACACAAAGCTTTATACAAATACGTTTTATGACAGGGATGGGACAAGAATCCTCAAAATATACTGTAGATAGTTGATTAGTAGCTTTTGACCATTGAACATAAGCCAACGAATCAAAATGGTGCCTGCAGTCTATTGAAGTAGCGTGTCATCTATATTTGCATTCAATTGTATGTCACGTTTATTTGAGTCTGGTCTATTGTGTTGAGTTCTCTCCATGCTATATGCAGGACGTATGGAGCTGTTCAACGCAACCTGAGGTCTCCCCAAACAATGAACATTAAGTGCAATGAATAAGCTCTTTCTGAAATTGCTAGACATGACTCCATATATGACTGGGTTGGCAGCACTCTGGATGTAAGGTAAAAAGTTAAAAGCCACCTACAAAAGAATAAACCAAGTGAAATGTGCGAAATGTTTAATCTTGTATGGTCTACATAAACCTACTATATAAGTAACTAAATGCATAAATAGTTCACTTTAAGCGTTATGTGATGACATTTTGATGAAATACTACTATTTTACTCACTTCGAAAGCCATGTTCGATTTTGAAACTTATGGCTCTCCGACGGAGCAATGGGCAGCTGAATAATAGTGACCTTTAAAACACGAAGTAATGTGATCAGCGGCTTACTTGTGTTCTCTAACTGTGTCCTACATCAGTATAATCCATCCTTGCAATTATTGGAGCGCTGAAGTACTTCCTTTTCGATCAAGATGTGTAATTGTTAGTCGAGTGAATGTTTTTCTGCCCAATTTCAATATGGCGTTTTTTGCACGGACATTTTCGTAAATCTCCGGACGCTGTCCGAACCTACCTAAATCTCATGATTCATTTCGTTCGTTGCGAATTTCACTACCTAGCAAACCGCCATATTAAAATTGGGTCGCAAACATTCACTCGATGAACAATTTAGTCTTGATCGGAAAAGTACTTCAGCACTCCAATACTTGCACGGATGGATGATAATGATGTATGACACAGTTAGAAACCAAAAGTAAGCCGCTGATCACATTAATTCGTGTTTTAAAGGCCACTATTATTCAGCTGTCCAGTGCGCAGTGGTAAGGCTGCTGTATCAAAATCCACATCATTATAGCTTTCGCAGGAAGTAACTACTGCTATATCTACAGGGTCACCCAAGAATTCGGTCCCGAGTATTCCCAACAATGTTTAAATTATCCAGAATAGGGTCTTCTCATGTTACCATTGGAGGCATTAACTTTGGTCATTGTTTTACTTAAATGCGATTGGTTGCTCAGAAATATCCGTACCAGGAGTGCTTCAAATAACCATTCTGAAAATTGCGTTCATCTGAAAATTTGATAGGCTAATGTAATCAAACGTATGTATGGCATGGAGGATTGTGGTCCATAGGTTCACCAGCAGATGTCAAATGATAATCTCAATCATTGTCAATATCACGCAGACATAATTGATCAAGAATCGTGCGTAAAAACACTTTCAACGTAATTCATATAAAAACTCACAGAATTCTTCGATTTTGTTGTATTTTCGTTCGAATTAATTCCAGATTTGATTTGATTCACGCCTTTTGAGGTCCAGGATTTCGAAACCACCATCATCTAAGTTAAACTGGAACATGTTCATGCAACAAGTGAAACTGCACCTTTGCAAAATTATACATATGAAAAATACTTGGGGCCAATTAAGGGAGTTGAGAGAAAACAATGATTGAGTGAAAGAAGTCATAACTCTCAACATTTGTGGAAAGTAATGAATTGATTGCAAACCTTGTGTTTAATATCTCAAAGAAAGGACCATCATAATGTTAAGCATACATGTTTGCATAAAGATTGATCTGAGGCCTTTTTCACAATATAGCTAGCTATTCTGTTATTGTGCAGTAGCAATAGTAAAGCAATTTTTAGAAATTCATGATCCAATATCTAGTGCGTTATAGTAAAATGGATGGCAATTGCGCAAATGCTTTCATGAATAAGCCGGTGACTCTTTCGCCGCTCGTTTTCACGACTCGTTTTTAAAAAGCAAATCAAGAATTTAATAAATTATTGTAAATTAAGGTATAGATGGAAAAGGTTTAAGACCAAGCCGAATTAAAACTAATATAAATACATTTACGAAATTATACCACATACAATGAAACACAGAAGCATTGCTGCATGCACATAATTCTAGATTTGTGGGGACATCGGTATGTTTTAATATTTTCAGATGATGTCCAAATAAGTACATAAAATTAGATGTATGAGAAAAGAGAAATCTGAAACTTATGTGTTGTTTGATGAAAAAGGGTTCACACTCTGACTTACATGTATTTATAAGTATAACAATGCAGCTACATCAAACTCAAGTGCCAGAGGTAGATATAGAGGGCATTGATCCTGTTTTGAGAGATTATTTATTAGTTCAGCTTTTTATACGTTTTCAACCATATGTGTTAGACATGTTTTGTACATTTCATCAGGATTGCGAAATAGATTTAAATTTTCCAATTAGTCAAAAGACAATACCAGAATCTAACTTTTCTTAAACATTAAAAGAAATAATCATGGACCAGAAGTAAAGAGTCAATTATTCAAGAGCTTTTATACAGTTATATTGTGTAAGTTAAAAAACTTGTATACAGAAAAATCAAAAGTACATTTAGAATCTCCATTTACATCTAGCTTTTTACGTCGTTTCAACGATTCAAGGTAACTGCTTGCAACTTTCTCTACAGATATATATCACCGACAGGTTTTCTCTTTAGTGACATGTGTGGCTTCCTATAATTGACTACAAGCCTTGAAATATGATGCCTAATGTCTGTTTAATTAAGATATTGTGCTAACATTGTTATTTATCACTAAAATAGTCATTTATTGCAATGATCTTTAAAGCATCGAAAGCATTGTTGCACAAATGGCCATACCATGCTGTCATAAAAATTAATGCAAAACGACCACAACATATAGTCATGCCTTTAATTGCCTATGTTGTAAATGCATATTTGCATTTTAAGATGATCTTTGAACTGGTGTTTAATGTATGACCAAGCATTACGTTGGACAATCGGAGAAATGTACAGTTTTCAAGTACAAAACTTGTCATTATAGTTTACCTTCAAAGTAACAAAATCCTGCCGCCAATAACTGTTCATATGGTCTTTAAAGGGATATCGACTGATGATTCTCAGGATAAGCTTAGGGCCCCAACAAATCAAGAACACCAGGATGATTGTGATGAGCATCTTGATCACCTATAAGTAAAACAAATGATTTAGATGGATCCATTGGGAAAATATATTCACCTTATCAAATTCATAAAATACAATAAATTAGTTAAGTGGCGTGTTTCCATACAACATATTACACTTTTTTCATATTATCCATAATGGTACTATTACATATTATATAACCATGACATTTTATGCATGCTTTGAATCACGAAAAATATATCAACAATAGAAAGCTTAAGATGCCTCTAAAGAAGAAGTAATACCGCAACAAATATTGCATCTTGTGTCGACTTAACTTTGTAATAACGACACATAATGCAAGTCACATAAGACGACATTTACTTCAACCGATAGCTTTTCCCAGAGTCATAAGCAGAGCTATTAGAGTGAATTGAGGCCTTAAAACTTCACCCCATGAATAAGCTTCAAATGATGATCAATGTGGAAACTAATAGACAAATTAATGCATTGTCTGTTCATACGTCATGCATACTTATTGAGCGTTTCAAGAATTTGAATCATTCAAATTATTATTTGATTCAAGATAAAAACAATTGTTAAACTCGGAGAATAAGAACGACACCCTTCTCATCACAAATGTCTTTGCTGAACATTCAGTACAATTATTCTCTTGACTTGTCGTATTTTAGGACCAAATCTATTGTGGGCTCGTCGGCTAATGTAAGATAACATTCATCGCTAATGAAATGGACACATACAGTAATTTCATAATATTGAAGTAGGAGATGAAGTGTATGACTTATGCACTTATATAACGGGTGTGATACAAGAATCAAATCTGACTTTTGTATTCACTTGTATAAAACATCTTTAAAATTTAAAAAACTACATATTTGTAACAAAAAATGTAATGTTGATTTCTATTCGAAAATTAACATTTAAGTACATATTCATACAGAACAACCAGTACCAGGTCAATAATTTTGTATGATTATCGAGTATATGTATTCATTTACCCAATACATTGAATTGAGGAGTAGCTATAGAGCTGGGATACATGTTATATTTAAACAAATTACACAGTGCCATTTCACCTGTTTCAGATTCCTGATTCTTTATGCAAATTAAATCGTTCCAAATAGTCGATTGTTATATGCCACGTTACAACATTATTCTTAAAATGCCAACTTTCTTTTCAGATTAATGATATCCTTAAGCTTATCTGAGATAGGATTGTCTAACCCTGAAGATTCATCAAGATATAAAATGCCATCTCATCAATCTAGTTTTATTTCTAATGTACCAACAATGATTTGTGTTCCACGGAATCCAATAATGCTTTTTCGAGCCTATTTTTACTTTCAAAGTTGAAAAAGAGAAATAAATTCAAAAGAAATATTTGAAGCAATAGGTAGCTACTAACATCAATTCAACAATGAAGCAAATTCCATGAAAAACATCTATCAATCGATCAAAGATAACATATCAAAATAATTTGGATTATCCCTTATATTAAGACAGGTTGTAAAATTGCACTGTGATGTAGTAGGTCAACTCTTATGAAATCATGACCTCAAACTGGCAAATGCAGATCCGTCATGCCTTTCCAATTACATCTTAGAATTGCTGAAGTGACAGATATGGTCAGATTGACCCTATTTCCAGCTAATAAAAACGGATTTTTCTAAGACTGGCATTTCGTTTTCTTGATTCATGTTTTAAGTCTGATATTCATAACTTCTTTCATTTTTCAAAATATTGAAATGAAAATTACAAGGTGACCTAAAAACTGTAATTTTCTTTCTAGTGACATATTGTGTAAATTCAACAAATACAAACGGAAAATATTTCAAAATCATCTTATTTTTTCTTTTTATGTGTGCTGATTACATTCAAAGAAATACTTTAGTTCTCATTTAAGCCGGTTTCTTTGCTTGTAATTTTGTAAATTGACAAGTACGTATCATGTATCTGAATCTGATGCTTTGTTTACGTCAAAAAAGAACGTGTACTAAAGTGACGATTTTGGCTTTTCTCTAGACACGTATCTCCAATTTGTATTTATGATTTACTAAAAATCATCAACTAGAGGATTACTTTAGAGGTATCTGAAATACTTTGTCTTAAGATTCAAAGAAACATTGTCTTCATAGAAATAATGCGGATATATCTCCAAGCCATAATATTATTTTGGTATATCACTGTGTCTATCACTAATGATTCATACAACATGTGTATACTTTGATGATGGTTTTATAAATTTCTCCATCATTCAAATCTTCAAGAACTCGACCATTTGATCAGATAACGTCGAAATCTTATATTCGAGGTGATACAGTTGACTCGGTGATTGTAAGCACTTTTGACACCATTATATCTCTGATTCTATTTTAAATAGACGACCTAAATGTAATCTAAAAAAGCCTACGTATTTTTTCAATCAATTAATTACTATTTATTGCTATATGCAGGTTTTCTATTGGCTTATAATTAGATCTTCCAATAACTCCCGTTAACGTTAAAAGGATAATTGTCGTATACATCCGATTAATCTTGTCTAGATCTTAACTGTCAAATGATTGTATTGCGTCTTGTTTTACATGCTCCTCGATATGTGACATAATCAATAGTGATACAACCTTACCATCCTTATAGATCGGGCATCACTGTCCCAGCTCATGGCATAAATTGAAATACCCTTGAATCAAGGATGTAGCCTTATATCCAAAATTATTTTTTTAATTTCATATTCACAGGCTGGTATCGAAATATTTGTCCGCTGTGACGGAGCATGCTATTTTTCATAAAAACACTAAGAATACTTCACGATTTATTTTTTAACTCATATGTTTCGTTATACCATACAAAATTACTTACTCCATGCAATGGATATATCATTTGCGGGTAACTGTCACTTCTGTTTGAAGTCCAATTACGCTGGGAAGAAAAGTTATTGAAAATGGCGCTGGAGTATCATACTTCAAAATGTACCATTTCTTGTTTAACTTTCTAATGGCACGATATAGTGACACGATAATATTTACACATGGTTTCAGCATTACTATGAAGGTATTAATGAGATGTTGATGTATTTGGTCTTTTTAATTCTTTTATAGAAAATAATGTTTAATTTTTTTGTCCGCTGTGACGGAGCAGTTGCAAATGTAAACTGTAAAAATGCTCCGTCACAGCGGACAAAAAATATTAGTATAATTTTTTATAAAAAAATTAAAAAGACCCAATGCATTAATATCTCATTAATACATTCAAAGTTATGCTGAAAACATATTTTAATATTCTTGTGTCACTATATCATGCCATTAAAAAGTTTAAAAAGAAACTGTACAATAGTCCAATAACGCTAGGAGTAAAATCTATTGAAAACGGCGCCAGAGTATCAAACTCTAAAATGTACCATTTCTTTTTTAATTTTTTAATGGCATGATATAGTGACACGATAATATTAACATATGTTTTCAGCATAACTCTGAATGTATTAATGAGATATTAATGCATTGGGTCTTTTTAATTTTTTTTACAAAAAATAATGTTAATATTTTTTGTCCGCTGTGACGGAGCATTTTCACAGTTCACATTTGCAACTGCTCCGTCACAGCGGACAAAAAAATTAAACATTATTTTTTATAAAAGAATTAAAAAGACCAAATACATCAACATCTCATTTATACCTTCATAGTTATGCTGAAACCATGTGTAAATATTATCGTGTCACTGTATCGTGTCATTAGAAAGTTAAACAAGAAATGATACATTTTGAAGTATGATACTCCGGCGCCATTTTCAATAGCTTTTCTTCCCAGCGTAATTGGACTTCAAACAGAAGTGAAATTTACCCGCAAATGATATATCCATTGCATGGAGTAAGTAATTTTGTATGGTATAACGAAACATATGAGTTAAAAAATAAATCGTGAAGTATTCTTAGTGTTTTTATGAAAAATAGCATGCTCCGTCACAGCGGACAAATATTTCGATACCAGCCTGTGATATTATAAACAAGACATTTCACATTATTAACATGACAAAATGTCACGACCTAGTTGCTCACGATATATCAGTTTTGAATTTCTGAGAACTCTGTAGATGATTTTGAAAAAAGAAATTGGTCAATTTGAAGCAAGTTAAAAAAACTTTTTTGACCCTGAGAAGGTCATTGAAGGAGATTTTTTACCTTGAGAATCTATACTTCTGATAACTGTAAAGGCTTTTGAAAATATGGTAAATTTGAAGCAAGTTGAAAGAAATACCTTTTTGAAGTTTCTGAACCTTTTTGACCTTGAAAGGTCATTGAGGGACAAATCTTAAATGTAAAGTCAGATTTGAACTCCTGAAAACGTGTAGATGATTTTGAAAAAAAAACTGAAGTCAGTCGAAACAGTATTTGTTGTAAGTAATTGGTAGTTTTAAGAATTTGTTACAGACGCCAACCGCCGCCACAAAAAAACGGAGACAACCAATAACAATATGTAACCACATATAAAAAAACACCCCACACTTACAAACTCACGATGTAAATGTTAGTTTAATGAAGAATCTTTATCACACCTTAAAGAGCCATGCGACAACTCAGTCAAACTAAGTCAGTAAACATATGTAATACAGAAATTGAAAAAAAAACATTTAAGTCAAAATAATCCGGAACAGATAAAAAATCAAAACCAAAAAACACTGCAATCTCAACCAGAAGAAGCGAGTAGCTCCCATAATACTATATATTCTTTCGTACTCATGAACATAATTCATTTGAATCACGCCCATCGCATATGATTTCCAATCAAATTGCAGGATATAATCACATGAGCAATCATGAACACGTACTCTCTCAGAGCCGCACATGCGCAAAGTAAAATTTGAAATCGTGCCGAGATGGCGTTTATTTCAGATTAACATCACGGTTCGACATCATCACTTCTAAACCACGGAAATACTATTTAAGTTACTCGATCCAAACTTGTAAAGAATAATCATAAAACAACAGCGAGCATTCTGAGGTCAATTCCAATGGCAATTGAGACCTGTTTATAAAATTGGTTATCGAATGAGCCAATACCAAAGGTCAACACCCACCCCGAATCTCAACATTACAACATGGTAAACAAGATAAACAGACAACCGACAAGGTCTCTGTAAATCTGATATGGGTGCAAGATTTATCATGAATAAACGATATTGTCCTGTCACCTTATCAAAATCTGGGCGATTGATCAAGATACTAGTGGGATATAGGAGGATTAATATCCCATTAATCAATGCAAATGTCATAAAATATAATAACATCATATACAATATGATATCTTAATTAATTACTCTGATAAGCAGGATTCAGGATGATGATACAACTAGAAGCATGGATGGTTTTATTGATGCCCATATATGGGTATATAAGATGGCTGCACGTACACTAGTAACCAGAACAACGGCAACGCCAAAGCGTAGCGAATCCCATCGAACAGAAATGGCTGGCATTTTACAAACAAAATATATAGCAAATATCGTAAAATAACACACATAAGAAAGGCCACCATTTTCAAAATGGTTGCTCACTAGCCAAGTTGTTTATAGTAAAAAATGTAAAATAACACACGTAAAAATGGCGGCCATTTTTCAAAATGGTCCTAGTACGGGATAAAGTAGCTTCCACAATCTGACAATACGATTATATTGTTTCGTACTCATGAACATAATTTATTTGAATCACGCCCATCGGTATATTATGTCCAATCAAATTGCTGGGTATAATCACATGAGCAATCATGAACACGTGCTCTCTCAGATTCGCACATGCGCAAAGTAAAATTTGAAATCGTGCCGAGATGGCGTTTATTTCAGATTAACATCAGTTCGACATCATCACTTCTAAACCACGGTAATACTATTTAAGTTACTCGATCGAAACTTGTAGAGAATAATAAAAAAAAAAACAGCGAGCATTCTGAGGTCAATTCCAAAGGCAATTGAGACCTGTTTATAAAATTGAATCGAATGTACCAATACCAAAGGTCAACACCCAACCTGAATCTCAACATTACAACATGGTAAACAAGATAAACAGACAACCGACAAGGTCTCTGTAAATCTGAAATGGGTGCAAGATTTATCAAGAATTAACGATATTGTGCTGTCACCTTATCAAAATCTGGGCGATTGATCGACATACTAGTGGGATATAGGAGGATTAATATCCCATTAATCAATGCAAATGTCATAAAATATAATAACACCATATACAATATGATATCTTAATTAATTACTCTGATAAGCAGGATTCAGGATGATGATACAACTAGAAGCATGGATGGTTTTAGTGATGCCCATATATACTCTTGTAATAACTGTGTAAAAATGATGTTCTGTGACTGGGTTGTGAGAACTCGAATTTGTTGACCATATACTTTGTGACACTATACTAGACTCAGACGTATTGTTAAACATATGCAATTCCCTGGGAAGCAATTTAAGCTATTAACATCATACTCCGGACGCAGGGGTAGATACTCCTGGGTTTTAAAGCGCATGCCCCTCAATCCCCTATTTATATGACTGAATAAGAAGTCACATAAGTGAGCTCACCATGCATTCAATAAGGTTTCTGTATTTTCCATTTCAGAAGTTTACTTGGTTTAGCCGTATCAGTCACTGTCCATTGGAAAAAAGCAAAAATTTACTTAGAGCTTGAACCAAAATGGCTGCCAAAATTCACATTTCTCCCCAGAGTCTACATCATAGTGTAAATCGACATAAATCCATAAGTCTTACTGGTACTATTACTATATTTTTAGTATGTGATGTCATCAGCACAATAAAACATGGAAAAGGGAATGAATACACAAAGACCTGCAATTTTGGTGAATAAATCATATTGATGATGGAATATAAAATTTAAAATATACGTACATATTTTGCGCCAAATTTCAAAACAGATCCCGATGTAGAACTTGAGATCGCAAAATCTTTTTATGTACCCAAGTAGAATCAGAAAAAGTAAATTTAGAATTATGTCGAGGTGTGCATGTTTCTTTCCGTCGACTCATGAAAATGCAATGAGAGACCGTGATAATGGTTATCATATGGTGTTTTAACTCTCTTAATCCGTATAACACAGAACAGAATTTCATGACATAGTTTCCAAATATAAGATCAACAATGCCGAACGTCACCATATCGTCACTGATAGTCCTTAATTAACAATAAAAACAAATAGCAGTGAGTGTTATTAGCATCGTACCCTTCCCTCGACTATTTGTTCAGCAACTATTAACATTAGCTACTATTCTTCGCAACAAATAGCTGTGAGCAAAAGGTGAATGCATCTATAGTTAAGTTCAACAGAACGCAATTAACAAAAGATTATTGAAATGCCAATACATATAGAACATGTAGTTGTTAAGCATTAGTTATAGAGTGAGATAGAAAACTAATAAAAAAGTGTGCTAAAGGATACAATACCATAGTAAACAAACACAATAGTGACTTCATAGTAGAATCAATGTATCAAATGAAACGTCTACATACACATAGAGTTCACATTACTATTTCACGTTTAAGTCGGTTAAATGTTAGAACATTAAAGATACAGAAAATAAAAGATCATGGACCTCTCTCTAGCAAGCCCATGAAGACTTTATTATATGCATGATATACTGTTACATCAAATGAGTACTATTGACATGCACTATGGATGGTATTGATATTATACACCATCTATCAGGAACATATACAAGCATTAATCCAAATATAAGGGTTTACTATATCATTCGCTAGAGATAATATTCTATGATATCATACATTTGGTGTGTGGTTGTGTTTGTTTGCCAGGTACTGCGCCGTGCTTCACAAAAAACCAAATACCTGTCTTCTAGTACCATACGAAGGCAAGCTGCTACGGCGAAAGATCCGTGTGAAAAACACATAGTGTACCTGTTTACGGGCATTTTGGATATCTGCACTATGGTCTTTGGCAGCCTTTTTAATGACACTACTGTCCCTGTGGTTACTGGATGCCTGAACAAGCCTTTGATGACTGCTATCTCTATAATGGCAATATGCACATCATATTCAATGTTGTGGCAGGCATTGAATCATTTACTGTCTAAACAATTATGGTTTTCTCAAATAATATTCCCTAGAGTTAGAATGATTTATTTCACAGAATTTTAACTCAAAACGTGTCGTCTGTCTCATTAAAGACAAGGTAACCGTATATATCCATCGATTACACAATTACTTGTCAGACATTTATAAATTAAATTCTAATAGGGAAGATTTATAAAATATATAGTCATATCACATTCAATCATATCGCTGACTTCAAATTGGATCCATTGCTCTATGAACATTGTATAGCTTATCTAGTTGACTTAATCAACAAAATCGAGACAACCATGACTCTTTTAACGTTCACATTTATAAGGCTAAGGTTGTTAAGCCGATTGTGAATGTGATGCTGATAAGTTGCCAAGGATGGTAATCACACGTCCTTGATTAATTTATGTGTGCTGGAAATTAACTAGAAATGGCGAAGTCAATCCCAACATACATGTTACAATACATTAAACGTTTCCAAATGAGTCCTCACTTTGAAGACACATTCAATTATGGTTTTATATACAGGGTGGGCCAAAAAATATTCATTTTTAACATGTACACCAACAGCGATATATCATTTTAAAGATAATTTAATTTGCAAAAAAATAGTATATAACTCTGGCTTGAGATATAACCATTTATGTGACATGGGGGTCAAAAAACACCTTTTCAATTTTCATCGATTTTGCGAACAATAGCCTATTTCTACCAGATTTTACTGTTCGGTTGAAAATTGCAACATTGCCATGAGTGTTTCATAATTGGATATCATATATTGTTTTCATTCAGTTTTTGAACCATGCATGCTCAATAAATATGTATATGCTTATAAAACAAATTAATTTCTTCTTCATTCTCTCCAAATATGGCTCAACAGACCCACCCCCGGACCCATCCTCTCACTGGCGGATTAGGGGGGGGGGGCTGGGGGCCCGGGACCCCCCCCCCCTTTGGGTGGGCCCAGAAAAAAAATTGGGTTCAAAAAAATTTTTGGGCCAAAAAATGTAAGGCCCCCAAAAAGTCGGCCTTTTTGATCATTACTGGGCCTTATTTTTTAAATTCAGGCCAAATATTGAAGAAAATGGGCCTCAAAATTTCAAAATTTGGGCCCACTTTTGTGTTTTAGGGGCCCAAATTTTTTTTCCGCGCAAGTGCGGACGTTTTTTTCTCTGACATGAAATATGGGCCCCCCCCCCCTTGTTGGTTCCCAGATCCGCCCCTGCCTCTGATCAGATTATTCGCTTAAGACGCGGAAGCCATTGGTTGATGGCATAATTGATGGATATATGCGGAAGTACCATTCAACTGCTAGATACTCTTTCTTTTAGTTCCTCTACATCCCTGATAGGCTGGGTATCTTCAAATATCAACTCTTCTTAATGCCCCCAGGTATGGTAATCAACATTATTGGCATCTGGACTGCCAGTAAACCATTTGTCCGGGCTAGAGATGGCGTCATTTCGAATCTCCAAAAACTCCAGGGTAGCATTGGGCCTGTGTGAAGAAGCACTTTCCTATCAGAAAATGAAATTTCTTTCACATGTTTTTAATATCTTTGAGGAGTCCTTTTTAACACCTCATGTCATTAACATTCAGAGTATATTTTTGCTCCTGGTTCAACAAAAACAGGGCCTGTACGGTCTTTCCTTTTTGGGAAACACCGAGTGGACACTGCCACCCTTTCAGAAAAATGACATCTCGATTTGAGTAGCCTTTTATCGCAAATGCTACTATTTTTGCTTACTGATATATAGAGTCTATCCTGTTGATTACATGTATAGTACTTGGGGCATTTAGAACAGTTGGTCTATGAAGATCACTAGCCTATCAGGGATGTAGACAAACTGAAAGAATAAATAATTAGGAGTTCGATGGTACTTCCGCAGATATCCATCAATTATACCAATGGCTTTCGCGTCTTTAGCGAATAATCCGATCAGAGGATGGATCCTGGGGGTGGGTCTATTGAGCCATATTTGGACAGACTTAAGAAGAAATTAATTTGTTTTATAAGCATACTCATGTTTATTGAGCATGCATGGTTCAAAAACTGAATGAAAACAATATATAATATCCAATTATGAAAGACTCATGACAATGTTGCAATTTTTAACTGAACAGTAAAATTTGGTAGAAATAGGCTATTGTTCGCAAAGTCGACGAAAATTGAAAAGGTGTTTTTTGACCCCCATGTCACATAAATGGTTATATCTCAAGCCAGGGTTGTTGAAAATTGTTCTATTATATACCATTTTGTTGCAAATTAAATTATCTTTAAAATGATATATCACTGTTGGTGTACATGTTAAAATATTTATCAGGAATATCGGCTAGGGGGGGGGGTTATTTTGGCCCACCCTGTATTTGTCAGATTTCTCAGGCCAAACAGGATGGTGTCTATATGCCAACATCCATTATGGTTTAACCCTGTCCCCTCTAAGACATGTTGACTTTCTGAGGCATGAATCTGAAAAATACACTGCAAACTATTTTGAATTTGAAGCTATCTTACCAATTTATGTATTTCCGGATAGCCCTCTATGATATCGCCCTAGTGGTCAAACTTTGGTAAACAAGACAAGGAAACCAGACAACGGTCAAGGTTTTACAAACTAAACAGTTTCTTGATTTGGGATATTTTTACTTTGAATGAACTCATTTGGTCGTTAAAAATCTAGTTCATGATTAAATATTAGAGCAATGAAACACTTAAAGGCCAGAATGAAAAGCCACGGGAAGCAAACAATTAAATTATTAACTCGAATCATTGTCTGAAAGAACACTATATCAAAATTAATAGCATTATGTTTATTGTGTTTAATTGATTAATAATCATTGATTTTCGCAGTATAATGTATAATTGGTGTCACAAATGAGTATTGTACGGATCGGGATAAAGTGTGGATTGCTCTCTAAACAGAAATGATTCAACAGGGATCTAGGACTTGTTATAGTTGTACTGTTGTTGTACTCTTACAACTGATGGTTTTTGGTTGGAATGTGCAATCATATATCGGTTTAAACATTCTTTACTCGTCAGTTCATGCGTAATATGCACATAGATATATTAAAATTAATAATTAAGTTATTGTACCTTTGTTGAGACCTTTGTGTCATCTTGGCGAGCTCCTTCGTACTGATCCAGAGTACATATATCACTCTGGCATAACAAAATACCATGATATATGTCGGCACAGCAAACATTACAATCAATTGGTACCATGCAAAGATGTACCGTTCCATGTTCATCAAGCTGTCAATACATTCTGCCATTATTAGTCTCTGGTCGCCATTGTAGAATTTATCCTCTCGTAATCCCTGAAAGGTCAATTTATGAAAGTTGATATGACATCTGATCATCACTCAATTTTCAAATGGGCCCATAAAAATAGAGTGGAAATTCCGATTGACTGGACTTGATTTTGCAATGGCCCTTTTGAAAATTGGTGATCTTTTTGGCTCTGAATGTCATTATCGATAACGAAGGTGCCACATTAGAGGTAAATAATGTGAATTGCTCATAAGAGCTCGACTTCAAAAACGTTCAAATTGTAAACTGAAAATTTGAAGCATTTATATATGTGGTTAAGAAAAACTATATTTGGGCATGGGATACATGTATCACTTTCATTAAGTAGTATCTGATCGGTAGGATTTTTTGTAGTTTTTTTAAAACGACCGGAACGTTCTTTTTTCCACAGATCAACATTTTCAATGACCTTGAATGTGACATTCTTGAATTATAGATCAAGATAAGAAATGCAATCTAAATGACATAGTCTGAATGAGCAAACCTTACATTACATTCGCTTAAGAATAAATGTATAGGCCAACAGGGCATTTACTCCCCTTCTATGAGATTTGGATCACTGCACAAACATAATATTCATTGCATATCATTAAATGTGGTAAATGTAGTTTGAGATTTTCCATCAATATTTCAACATTACTTCCTTGCTTTTCATATTATGGCCTATCCATCAACTGGAAATGAAATAAATGATCACGACTATTGTATCCGACAATCTTTCACTCGAGTTACATTTCCAAGAATAATTGAACCACTCTTTCTACGCTGGAGCCTCAAATGATTTATATGGAAACTACATTTGCATTGCTTATCCTCAGTATGTTAGCAAAATACCCAGATTTTAATTAGAGCCCATGAACCATGTCTGACTAACTGACAAATATTTGATTAATATTAATATTAAGTTGTCATAATATATTTATATAATGAGGCAAACAAATTAAATGGATTAAAATAAATCCATTGAGTATCATGATTTTGTCATTTTTGTTAACGCGTTGATATCAATACCAGCAAGGTATGTGTTGCGGATGAGTGTTGATAGGCGGGTTACTATGAATTTATAGATATGCGATCACTAAAGCCCCAGTCCCCCGTCAGCTTTCATATGATTGCGAATAGGCCATGCGTCAAATTCGTTCCCATTAGTATGAGGATTTGACAGCACGTCGCACATCGTTGGTGGTGTTCGTATGGATGCGTTTTGTGGGCGTTTACATCCGTTGGGATCAGTTTGAATTCGTCGGAAATTGTTTGAACATGTTTACAAAGGATGGGTATCGATATGGTGAACTTTTTGAACACACGTTTCTCTTAAACCAGTCATCAAAAAATTCTGAACATTTTACACATTGTCAATTTAATGGTAATCTTTTGAATGGTAACAATATAATTTGATATATACTTTTCTGTATATTGTTTTAGAAAACACATCGGGCACTTCTTTTTTGTTCTTGGTATCATATGTTCGGAATGAAATAAAACATCTATCCGAATCTCTATTGGAACAAAATGACATAAACAAAACGTGTTCATGTCTCTCACTATTGTAATTATACAAAGGAAAGTTTGGTTGATTTAAAAGAAGTATCTTGTTAATGAAATTTAAGGTTTATCTTAGTTTTTATCTATTTCGGGGGTTTTAGTTTTAATTTTTTGAATACTTTTTGTTAAATCAACTTACATTTCCTATTATGTACAACTATAATATTGGGAAGTCTAAGAAAATGTTGTATATGCTATTTTGTTCAAACAAGCTTCGGGAAGATATCTTTTTTCATTCTCAAGAAATGGCCGGTAAGAAGGAACAAAAAACAATTGCACTAAAAAACGAAAAAAAATATTAACAAAAACAGTATGAATATATATAAATTATTTTCGCATTAAATTGTTGTCAATCAGTCAACATTACATAAAGGATTAAAGGACCGTGTTTTTTTACAGAAGGTTTTCAATAATTGGTTTAATTCAGTTCTTCATATCGATACCAATCCTTTGCAGCGAATAAGTTTGGTGTTTTATTCGTTTTTTCTGGTTGTAATGTGAAATATGTAAACTTAATTGTTTATATCAATCTCATGTACGATGCGTGGAATGATAAATACCATTGAAATACTACTATACATTGATATCAATACTTTAAATATGCTGGTTATTACACTTGTATCAGCATATGCATGGGATAAATAGAGGATATCCTATGATTTATGAGTGATATGATTTTTATCCACGAATGGATATGATATCTGCACGAGCGAGCGTAGCGAGAGAGTGCAGATATCAATATCCATGAGTGGATTAAAATCATATCACGAGTAAATCATAGGATGTTCTTTTTATTCCATAGTTAAAGTCATCATCAGAATTGTCGGAAATTAAGTCATTTAATTCGAATTTTCCAAACGATCCGGCGATGTTGACACTTAGCCTCGTTTTGAGTCTGAAGTAGCAAAAATCCATTAACCATCGCATACGACGTCGTATGTCATGGCTAAAAAACCGTATGCTATGGTTAAGTGAAAATTTGTCAAAAATATCATATTTTACCACTGATTACAAAAATACCGTTTTTATTTTCACATGTTATCCAATGAATATCATGCTAACTATGGAATAAGCAGGTATCTCTGTGAAAAATAATGCTGTCATAATAAATATTAGAGAGATTTCGCTAAGCAAAAGCACAAATTATGTTTATGATATACGTTATAAGTACAAGTGAACTGAAATTCACAAAAATATGTTCTTATACGTAGAGATGTACATATATCATCGATCAATATATATACAAGGGCCGATCAAGAAGTTCTGATAAAAATGCTCTAACTTAATAGTTAATTATTCGTTTTCAACAATATTTTCAGAGTAACTGATGGGTCATTTATTCCCTCAAAAAATGTAAAACGTTTAGATGCTGGTAATGAATATTTCTGAAGTTATGATTGCTATGGTAACCTCAATTATGCTATAGCGGGACAGGGTAAAATTTGTGAAGTTTAGAATTGGATTTCTTTTGAACAAATGATCGAAACCACATTATAAGGTAACGTAATTTTACAAATGTCTGTTTTAACAGTAACTGCTGTTAATGTCCTCTTCTCATAAGAGTGAAATTTTTAGAAATCATGTTTGACTTGGACAACACATCATGTCACAAATCTGGCATGATCTACAATATTATCAGCAACAAGTTAATATGTAGGTATTAGGACAGAAGGGTTTTAGGACATTCTCCAAACTTCCCAGATAATGCCCCCCCCCCTGGACATTGTTGTGTTTGGACTTTGGACCGGCCCTAGAGGGATCCGAGTGTCTCATATTTCAGAACATTTGTTGAAATCAAGAATTATGTCTAAATGAGATAAGTATTTACTCACTTATAAACAACCTTTTTCTAAGCGATATCTCCTTATGAATGGATAGAACTGCGTCTCAAATGATAACGTGGTACAAACACTTTATAAGTTATAAACAAAAGCCATTTAGAAACACGCTATAAGTGTGTTGCGAAATCTCTCTATTGTGTGAAAAATGTAACTTACAGTAACATAAGCAACTGGAGCAGACAGGAGACATGACGCAATCCACACTATCACAATAATCTTCTTTGCACTACCTATTGTGCACCAGGACCTTGAACGCATTGGGTGGACGATAACAATGTACCTGGAATGCAATTGTAGTACTAAAATCAAAGTAAATTGTTCATAGAAGTTCATAACTATTATATCACCACCTGATTGCACATAGTATTTCAGGTTGAAAGAGTAAATCCACAAATCCAATGGCATGGTACCAAATATTTCCAAAAATCGGCCAGTACAAGAAATCGGATCTAACCTCAGTTCGGCAATTTCTGTGAAATAAAATACAGATCATTCAATTGTGTTGCAACCTATATGGGGTTTAATTCCGGAGATCTAAGATACATACTCCATACTTCTGGAGCCTTGTACAAAATAAATTGATATTTTATACGTATTTTACGCATAACATATTATATTATGTAAAAAATTTCATATAGTGTAGAAAATATTCATATTTCATGTTATACATTTTCGTGAGAAAAACTCAAGAAGTATATTTATCATAACATTAAAATGATGCCCTACTCTGACCATGGGCAGAGTTATTTGGAATGCCTTGCCAACATTTAACAGAAAGAGAACACGCTTCAAAACTACAAAAACACACGGTAAAATGTGATCATATTGTCGGCGGATTATTGCATCTCCATGACTTTTATGATATTGAGTATTAATTCCCATGGTACATGCTAAATATACAGTAGGTGTCAGTTTGTTATTTGATTAATTTTCAAAGTAAACTTCTGTCAGCAAGCTGTTAAATTATAAATGAGACCTGGTGGCTTTGGGAGATTATTATGTAAATAATGATGTATTATGTTGTGTTATATTTATTTCCATTTTATAAGTACATGATGAATTTCTAACAGAATACCTTATTAGTATATTTAACACGATTACAATTAAATTAGTTTCCTAACCTTAATATTGACAGATTTGATTTAAGGATGGGAACGTTTCAATGTACAATTTCCATCGATATATTATAGTCTATGGAATGAAATTCCTAGGACGCCTAATAAGGGAGTTGGTTACATAATATAGCGCATCGATATTTGACCTAATATTTACATACTCACACATGTCCAGTATTGCTTTTTATTACAATTCGGAGGACATATTGCTCCAAAAAAGTACATGTAATAAATTTTGAGTGTATGTTTTAGGTTTCTCAACTATAAATTCTTAAAAATACAAACAAATTACTTAATCAGCACATCAACATTTTGAATTTCTTCAATTTTGGTGATGTAAATAGTTTCAACCCTTTCCCGACGTGAATATAAGAGGAAAATGTTAGCCTTCGTGACGGAAAAGTAAGATCAGTTTTGAGGGGAAAACTGCAAATTACCTCCACCCCGGGACCTATACCTTGAATTTTATCACTGAAATACAATTTTTAGTAAGGATTGTCACATTATCTCAAAATTTGGTGTAAAAATACTGAATAGAACTGGAGATATTGTCATAATACGTTTTGAGATATGGACTGTCATCGTCAGGGGTCAACTATCAATAAAGGAGGATTCATTGCTTTTCCTTGACTAACTGGATATGCAAAAATAAAGTCAAAAGACAAATGTAAGGCGTTTGATTGCATATGTCTCTTATAGATTATTAGACATCCCCTCTTAAATGTGTAAAAGTTCGAATAAATATATTAACGATTTGTGACCCCTTGTAATAAGAGACATATTTTGACCCCAAAACCCGACGTTTTTTCTGAAAACGGTCAATCTTAAAAGAATCAAAACATATCGACCTCCTTTAAATATTGATTCAAATTTTGCTACGGATTCTTCATATCCCGGAGTCATACCATGAACTAGTAGGCTATAAGTACGTGATGTTCTTGTATCCAGTTTGAACCATGTAACGCCTATATATAAGTAACACTTATCAAACATGTTAATCATCCAAATTTTGTGTGCACCTAAAATTACAACAAGGCATTAACATGACAAAATGTCACCACCTAAAACAATTTGGTCAATCTAAAGCAAGTTGAAAAAATACCTCTTTGACTTTTTTTGACATTGAGAAGGTCATTGAAGGTCAAATGTCAAATGTAAAGTCAGATTTGAACTTCTGAGAACATGTAGATGATTTTGAAAAAAAAATTATGTAAATTTGAAGCAAGTTGAAAAAAGACCTTTTTGACCTTGAAAAGGTCATTGAAGGTCAAATGTCAAATCTAAAGTCAGATTTGAACTTCTGAGAACATGTAGATGATTTTGAAAAAAAATTAAGTAAATTTGAAGCAAGTTGAAAAAAGACCTTTTTGACCTTGAAGGTCAAAGGTCAAATCTAAAGTCAGATTTGAACTTCTGAGAACTTGTAAAGTCAAATTTGAACTTCTGAAAAGATGTAGATGATTTTGAAAAAAAAATTTGGTCAATTTGAAGCAAGTTGAAAACATACCTTTTTGACCTTTTTTGACCTTGAGAAGGTCATTAAAGGTGAAATGTCAAATCTAAAGTCAGATTTGAATTTCTGAGAACCTGTAGATGATTTTGAAAAAAAGAATTAGTCAATTTGAAGCAAGTTGAAAAAAGACCTTTTTGACCTTTTTTGACTTTGGGAAGGTCATTGAAGGTCAAATGTCAAATCTAAAGTCAAATCTTAAGTCATATTTGAATTTCTGAGAACATGTAGATGATTTTGAAAAAAAAATTTAGTCAATTTGAAGCAAGATGAAAAAATACCTTTTTGACCTTTTTTGACATTGAGAAGGTCATTGAAGGTCAAATGTCAAATCTAAAGTCAAATTTGAATTTCTGATAACATGTAGATGATTTTGAAAAAAAAATTTAGTCAATTTGAAGCAAGTTGAAAAAAGACCTTTTTGACCTTTTTTGACTTTGAGAAGGTCATTGAAGGTCAAATGTCAAATCTTAAGTCAAATCTAAAGTCAGATTTGAATTTCTGAGAACACGTAGATGATTTTGAAATTTTTTTTTAGTCAATTTGAAGCAAGTTGAAAACAGACCTTTTTGACCTTTTTTGACCTTGAGAAGGTCATTGAAGGTCAAATGTCAAATCTTAAGTCAAATCTTAAGTCAAATTTGAATTTCTGAGAACACGTAGATGATTTTGAAAAAAAGATTTAGTCAATTTGAAGCAAGTTGAAAACAGACCTTTTTGACCTTGAGAAGGTCATTGAAGGTCAAATCTAAAGTCAGATTTGAAGGTCAAATGTCAAATCTAAAGTCAAATCTAAAGTCAGATTTGAATTTCTGAGAACATGTAGATGATTTTGAAAAAAAATTTAGTCAATGGGAAGCAAGTTGAAAAAAGACCTTTTTGACCTTGAGAAGGTCATTGAAGGTCAAATGTCAAATCTAAAGTCAGATTTGCACTTCTGAGAACATGTAGATGATTTAGAAAAAAATTGAAGTCAATCTAAACAGTATTTGTTATGTTATAGGAAGTTGTAAGAAATTGTTACAGACGCCGGACGCCAACCGCCGGACGCCAACCACCAACCGCCGGACGCCAACCGCCGTCGCAAAAAAACGGAGACCATAACAATATGTCACCACTTTTGGTGGTGACATAAAAACCAAAACTAAAACAATATCAAACCAATACATCGCAAAAGTTGAAAGATAAAATCTCAAGGAGGGGGTGCTGATGTTGACAATGTACAATATTTTGTAAGAACTGTATTTTGTCATTTTTAGCTATTGACTGGTGTACATGTGTACATGTTTATTCCATTCTGAACTCGCCAGATCTTACAGTCAACTTAACTAATATGCGTTCACTAATTTTGTTGCATTGTGACCTTGTAAAATGTTTTTAATTTCAAATAGAGTAGTCTAGCCATTATAATTTCCCCATTGGATTAACATGAATATTTCCTAATTTGCAGCAGCTTCAAACATCATCGGGGGAATTAGAAGACAGAAATATATATAGCATTAAATTGGATGTTACATTGTGATAATATTTCAGATTGTTAAATGTAGAAATGTAAGATGTATTCGCCATTCGGTTAGAAGACACACATAAAAACGCCAAAATTTAGAACACATGTTATTGTGACTGAACAGATCAATTTTATAGTATGCTGTAAAGTAAGTTTGGAAACAATTATACAGGGTGTTCCAGAAAACCAATACCCAAGTTTAAAGATGAATGATTCATGTGATATGTGTTAAACCTTGTCATGTATTTTATATCATTTTAAAGATAAGCCAGTTTCTAACGATATGACACCATTCGATTAAAATCCTATGTTTTCTTGTGGGGTTAGAGGCTAAAATTGATACCAGGGGTGTCATAAGCAACCGAAAATCAAAAAATGAGAATTCACAAGATTCTCTCCATGTTGCAGTCACAGCTGCACTCAATATGCTTTACTGAATCATTATAAATTTATATTATTTAAGAGTAACACAATTGATGATTAATAATAAAAAATAAAAAAGTACTGTTGGTGAATTTTGCACTAAACTTGTATAAATGTACCTCTTTTGAAGGTACCAAAATTCAACTTTCTCTCCATTTTCCATAATTTAGAAGTCCGCAGTGAATAATTTTTTGGTAACTCATGACACCTCTTGTGTCAATTTTAGACAAGAGGTTTTTCATTTTGATATTGCCAAATTTTTAGGAAATGATTTATCTTTAAATGGTATATAATCACGGTAGTGTTATATCTATCCGTATTAGTCGTTTTGTTTCATTAATACAGAATAAAACATACCATTTTATAAAAAATGGTGCCCTTGTCCTACGAAAATGTTTCACGGCAAGTTCGGACGGCACATGCTCAATGGAATAGACTGCATTTTCCGAAGACACCAAATGCAGAGGTATCTTTGAAAATTCAAAGTAAATCCATCTTAAGATATGCCAAAACAACATTTCCTGAATATTCAAAGTGGCCGCATCAAAATGTTCGCAGCATACACAAAGGCAATACGAAATAATCGTATATGAAGAGACAGCACTGGGAAATAATTCAGATACAACCTAGAAACTCATACACAAGACTCTTCAGACAAAATGTGGGCTTTGGCAACAAGACATTGCAACTATTTCACACAGTTGAATATAAGTAATGCTATAAAT